GAATTTTTATACCCTTTCGATGGACAGTCATTCACGGTTCTTATTACTGTTAATTACTGATAGGAGGTGGGTGATCAAGATGATTGCTGGAAATTGTTCAAATCTGCAAGAGATTATGGAAAGAGAATCCGAGTTAGTGAAAAAACTAGCAGAGGTCTTATGTTGGATTATACTCTAAACTAATGAATTTCTATAGCCTATTGGTTGATCACTATTTGGGAGTTATACCGCAAGGTTGATTTCATCGATACCAGGAATGTTTCCACTATTCTTAATGTACTTTGGTTCTATAATAGAAAACGTATGATAATTTTCTTTCAGATGGGTAAATTAAACAAAAGAAACTCATATAATTTCTGGAGAACTATCTTTTTTGCTGAATATTTCTGGGATCTGAACCAGCTTGCATGCAACTTGATAGCTTGTTCAGTTCACAAGCATACTTTGACAAGGTAATCCTGCCCACCTAGGCTGGATTAGGTGCGCTCATACCAAGTGTTGTAGCTGGGATGCATACGTGGAATCTTCAGGTTGTTACTCCCATGCCCCAACAGCAAAACCACTAGGACATCCTCCTAGGGACAAGGAAAACTATTTCTATTAAGAAATGAATTCATTTCTTATCAAGAAATCTACTCTATCTAATATTATTTCAGGGCAAGCTGGCATGCAAATAGAACTAACCTTTATGTTAGCATAACTACAAAACTCTAGTGTAAGTCTGTAGGGCATTTTATAAATAGAAGATAGAGTAGGTTTCTTGGTCCAAGAAGGAAAGCCTCACTTTAGCCATGTAGTTTGATTCATTTAGGGGAAGTTAAGTATAACAGCTTCACTGTCATTTGCTGATTTGATCTAAATCATATGTCATTTAATTAAAAGATAGTCAGTTTCCCTTTGAAACTCTAAAACTTGTACCTAGGTCACTGGTTCAGCAAGGTTTGCTTAAGTAGTTGAATGACTTGGATGTATTAATGTCTCAGTTGTTCTTTACCGGTGCCATAATTCAATTATCAAGGTCTTCTAATGAAGATTTTGTTTGGATTTATCTATTATCAATATCAGTACTCATTTCTGCTTGTTACTGCTTTTTACTGTTATTCATGATTTATTTATTTATTTTACAAAGATGATCTAAGTTGACTCTTGTTGCTGTTACAGAGATCAAAGATGAATTATCGTGCATGGTATCACCGTTGCTGGTTAGTTTCCTACATGTCAGCGGAACAGGTGAGAGAAAGGTCCATGGTGACATTTCTTTTGCGATTTCCTGCCAGTTTAATTTTCCTGGCTATGCAGAGCAGGGAAAGTTTTGGTCTGTGGTCATAGTGTGATAAAGTGTTTCGATTATTCCTGATCTTCCATTGCACATGGGCTCAGTTTTCTTCAACTACAGTCAATCATCTCTGAAACACTTTTCTCATGTTTCTCTGTCCTGTTTGAACTGTTCTATTCATTAGGGTACAATCAATTCTTAACAAATGGATTTAAATTCATGCATCCAGGTGCTGCAGGAGTTTAACAAGTCACGGGAGTGGGCTGGCCTCCATGTTGCTGATAACTCTTGCTTTCATTACCGTGAAGTGAGTCCCCATCAGAATCTTGATTTGCTTCTCTCTTTGCTTGGTATTGAATAGCCTATAAAATGTATAATGTTTTTGTGAAAGTGCGAAACCACTTGTCCCATTGGAAGTACAAATAGGGAAAGGCATAAATGGATTATGTTGTTCATTTGGTATGTTGATCTATGCAGCGGTTGATGCTTCGTCTGTTTGAAGAATCAGAACATAGCCAGGATCAAGATGCTAGCTTTGATCCAGAACTTCATAAATTGTTGAAGGTATGCTTTTACCATGTGGTTGTTTCCTCAACAGTTGATAGCATTTGTTTACAGATTTTATTTTCTATAATGAACTCATAACTTTCCTAATGGAGATGGGCTTAGCATCATTTTGTGAACGCTTAGGATTTCTTGAAACTTACATGCTTTTCACTGAAAATTTCATAAAGTTTTCCTCAGAAATCACAGAGGCTCAACATTAGTTTGCCTACTATGAGTTGCACTAAATTGGCTGGTTGACACACACACACACAAAAAAAAAATCACTTTATCTGGTAAAGTGCATTGAGGTGTGCAGGAATGATCAGTGTGAAATATTGAAAATTGAAGTTCCTGTTATGGAGTTGGTACTAGTTCCTGAACCTTTCAAGTTTTATGTTAACTGCCAAAATCTTGGAGTAATATCTGGAACTGAAGAAGTATTCCTCCTTTTCTTAAGATTGAAAAAGTATTCCTTTTCATTCTTGTTTGTTCTGGTAACAGTAAATCTTGTAATTGTTTGCATCTGTACAAATACGAAATCCGCATCTTACAATTAATTGCTAAGCCTTTCTTTTCTGATTCAATTTCTGCTGATAGGATGAGTTCAACTGGGTGGAGAAGTTGATAAAACGTTATGTGGGGAGAGAGGTATGTATATCACAGTAGTTTTCACAAGAACACTTTTTTTGGTTAGGTGACTTAGTGAGGTCACAAAGTTTTCCAAATTCTCTTGCCAGTCCTTTGGTGCATGTAGAATCGTAACATTCACATGTACGCCATCCATTGTTGCTCTTTCTGTGCCTCTAAGATGGCAATTCCAGAAGGCGACAGTCAAGTGTCCTCTCTAAAGGATCTTATTCGCATATGTACTATTTGCATCCCCTATTTTAAAAATTAAATAGTAACAAATTAAATGAAATTATAGTTTGTGTTCAACAATTCTACTTTCCCTATATTACTACAGATCTGTTAGTTTGATTTTGTGTTATATACACACATAAGTTTGACGAAATTAATGTATGGGAGTGAAAATGACAAAAGTGAAAAATACCATATTAGAGACTCCTGTTCCAGTAAATAATAAGACATATCTCAACTCAAACACATAATTTCATTTGTACGAAAGTACATTTTCATATAAATCATAAATTCTTTCGTATTACTTTCAATCCTTACCTTTAAATGCACAAGACTTTTTAAATGATTTAAATTTTTAGGTACATATACTAGTTTCAGATTAACAGTTAGGTGTTGGAGTAGATATACACACGTAAGTTGGATATTTATGGAGATTATCCTCATTTTTAATTGCCTATCTATTTCATCTTATAATATCCTTAATGAGATCAAGAGAATGATCATTTTGATGTTTTGATCGTGCTCTGCTATAGATTCTCATATTTCTCATATCTAAGGCCAACCTACAAAATATGATCAATCAGTTCCGTGCACAAAATTGATTGCGTCAGTCCTTTCCTTTTTCTGTATCTGGATTGTCTTTTAATTGCTTCATGAAGATAATCTTAGTTATTAAAAGCCTGTAACTGTGTGCAACCCTGCCTCATGTTTTTTATCCTCTCAGGCACTGTGGCTTCATCGCCGCTTCCTCTTAACTTACTGGATAAGATATTTTGCATGCGGTGATCATGATAGATCCTTGCCTTCTAACCAGAGAAACATCAGGACGGTTGATATTGACATGCTCATAGATAATGAATTAGAACTATTTCGTTCCTGCACAATTCTACCCGACAGTGACTTTGAGGACTATCAAGCTCAAGCAACCTTTGCTGCTACTTATATGGTGTGGCTCAAAAAGGTACTGTGCTTCATATTTTTTTCAAGCTTGCAGTAAGTTTTGAACTTTTCACACAGTTGATTTTATTTGTTTTTGAACCAGCAATTAGCAGGGGCTCTGGCGATTGATATTCAAAAGGTGGAAACAAGCAGACTGAAGTCACTCCTGACTAATGTATGCCCAGAAAAGAGCTTACTTTGGAATTATTTGCCTGAGCTATGTGAAATCACATAGCCCTTCTAATAAGAGAAGATGAGGAAATTGTAGCATAGTCGTCATATCAGCTTCATGGATTTAAAATGTCGATATTGCTATATATTTGTTTGAACTTGATGCATTTACTTGTTCTCTCCTAACCACACTTTCTCCAGCGAAAGCACAATACTTCTGACATGGCTGGCTTCAGTGCACACAGATGCATTGCCACTGCTGCTGCACTTTCTGATGTTTTTGCAACTTGGATACACCCAGCTAATTATCGCGATAGAGATGTCTCTACGGAACACAATTGTGATATATTTCAATGAATTCATCTCTCTATTCTTAGTGCATTTGAAAATATTTGCGTAGCTTTAGGTATTCACCATGAAGGAGTTCATTCTTCCACCAATATTCTGCGAGGAAAATGACCAAATTGATGCATGTTATTTTACCTCATTGAGACATGTTATACTTTCTTCTCCCATGAATTGTGAGTCTGGGAATAAGTTCAGCGTACCTTTACGTTCCCCAGATCCCACTTGTGAGACTACAATGAGTATGTTGTTGTGAAGAATGACCAAATTATGCTTGTTAAAAATGCCTTATCGGCCAAAGAGTCGTTTAATGATCTCCTTTACCAAGGACGGTAATAATGATCTGTAAACATGATTCGCTTGTAAGCATTATGATGTCTGAGCTAATTATAGTACTTATTTTACACAATTCTTTTTCAATGATAACTGATGATCTATGAGCTAATAATATTACCGATGCAAAATGCCGACTCTTTACGTGTTGGAAGATTACGCGGTTTTCTTGTTCTAGTTGCATGCTATGCCAGGGAGAAGTCTCCTTTCAAAACTTCAAATTGATATGTTTGGACTCTGGTAACAGTATTGAATTTTTAGTAAGCGCAATTTTATTTATCAACTACAAATTGAGAAGAAAATCACAAGGTGAATATTAAATTTGACTGGAAGATTTTATATTACACTCCTTAATCCTATATTGTATATTTGTGTCAATTGTGTTAGGTGGTTCAAATTTATATTACAATAATAATTGCTTCTTTTTTACAAAAAAAAAAAGAAGACGAAGAAGAAGAGCAAAGCGAACTTGGGGGATGTATCCATCATTTTAAAAAGTAGAGGGTTCTACATATCATTTAATCTTCCTGGTGTACTTGCTTTTAACTTCCTCAGCTTTACTTGTCGTTTAGGTGGCAATAGGGTTTTAGGGTTTAAGGTCTCTTCATCTTATTCTACTTCCTCTCTTGCTCTTACAACTTTCAGCTCAAGGTAATTGCTTTTCTATAGCTTTCATGTAATTGAACTCTAATTTTCTATTGATTGCAGATTTTTCTAAAGTATTTTGCTTTGAATTGTTTCGTCCAGAATTGCTTTTCACTTGTCCGAAAATCCCAATGGAGTCTGCTCCACCCGCCGCCGCCACCAAGGTTAGCCGCTCCACCGTAGAGAAGGCAGTGGATGCTCTTCTCAAATGGAAAGAGTCCAAGTCGAAAACTGAAAAACCCCAATTACTCCCACAAGACGATTTCATCTACCTTAATCTCACTCTTAAGAAAATACCACCAAAACCTCGTACAAACGCTTTCAGAATCCCTTTCCCTCACCCTCTTCATGATGCTTCCTCTGAACTCTGTCTTATCATTGACGACAGACCCAATTCCAAGCTCACTTCGGATGCTGCCAAAAAGATTATTAAATCCCAAAACATACCCATCACCAAAGTCATTAAGCTTTCGAAGCTTAAGACTAACTACAAACCCTTTGAAGCAAAGAGAAAGCTTTGTGATTCATATGATCTTTTCTTGGTTGACAGAAGGATTGTCCATTTGCTTCCTAAGCTTCTAGGTAAGCAGTTTTTCAAGAAAAAGAAGCTGCCTTTGCCATTAGACTTGACACACAAGAATTGGAAGGAGCAAGTGGAAAGGGCTTGTGGGTCTGGGTTGTTTTACTTGAGGACTGGAACTTGTTGTATGATGAGGATTGGTAAGGGTTCAATGGACTCTGCGCAGATTGTTGACAATGCCTTTGAAGCAATAAAAGGTGTTGTTCAGGTGGTTCCCAAAAAATGGGGTGGTGTGAGAAGCTTGCACTTGAGACTTTCTGATTCTTTGGCATTGCCTTTGTATCAAGCATTGCCCGAGATCAAACTCAAGATTCAGGGATTTAAGGAGAAAGAAGCTGAGGTTAGAGATGAAGAAGTGAGTGGTTGTTTGGTTGAGGTTGAGGAGAGTGGCAGGAAAGCTGAAGAGGGATCAGGGAAGAAGAAGGGGAAGAATAAAGGGAGGATTCATGAAGTTAGGTATATGGACTTAGACTCTGGTGTAGATGAATTGGGAAGTGATGATGATGATGTTGGTAATAATGAAGAAGAGGAAAACAGTGACGAAGACATTGAGGAGAGTGATGATCATGAAGTTGAGAAGGTGAAAAAGGGGAAAGCTGAGAAGGGTAGTATCCTGAGCGAGTCGAACGGTGAGAAGAAGGCAAAAGAGTTGAAAAAGGCTGAGCAACAAATGAAAAGTAAGTTGTCTTTGAAAGATGGAAAGAAGAAGAAGAGTTCTGAGCTAGAGAAAAAGCTGAAGGATGGGTCAGTGAAGGCAAAGAGCAAGAGAAGCAAGATAAGAGCATAAGAATAATATAATCAGTCTTATTAAGAGTTTTACTGATAACAGATCACTTATATTTGAAGTCTTCAGCAGGCTGTGCCTGAGATTTTGTTTTGAAATAGATTTTGCATCACCTGTTTTTATTTAGATGTCACTGTTGCCTTTTGTTTTTCGCCATCTTTTCAATTTTGATTTTGAAGGAATCCATAGTTCAGATTTCTATGTGCTGAAACCAGTTGGCTCTGTTATGATATGCTTATTAATTGAATCTTGGTTATGATGTGCTTATTAATCAGATATTTATAATCCTTCTCTACTGCTAATCATTAGTGATGTTTAAACATTGTGGAGACATGCTTTCAATGTCCTAGTTGGTTTCATTTGTGCGAGTAGTATGTGCATGTTGGATCTCCTTTTTTCTACATTCAACTTCATATTCATGGAAGAATAGGACTCAAGAGAGCCACATTGCATTAGAAGTGTCTTATGCAGCTAGTCTGTTAATTGCTGTACCGCCTTTGGTAGTACATGGATTACCCCCTCTTCGTACCTATGCTTATGATAAATTCACTTCCTATGCCAGAAAAAGAGATTCTACTTATAAATTGTTCTTTTTGTTGATTCTGACATATTACTAGGATTCAGTTATTTTCCTCCATATGGATCAATATTGGTCCTACTGGAGAAGATAAGACTTATTGTTCCTAAATAATACTATTATGGTGTGAAGGAAATCCATTGTTCGGATTTAGATATGCTGTAAGCAAATTACTCTTCTATATTGAACAAGGAGGTGCTACATCTATTCAAAGGCTTTAATCCTTTTAGCTGCTAATCCTTAGTGGTGTAAAGAGATTCTGGTAACATGCTTTCCTATGTTCTCTTTGGCTTTGTTTATAAGAGTATCATGTCAAAATTGAAAACCCTTGGTTTTTGTAGTGACCTTCTACTTAAATATTCAAGGATGAATAAGTCCCACTGAGAGGTGAGAGCCATGATGCATTATGACTCTATTTAGGCAAGCTAGTTTGTTACTGCTTTACAGCCTATGGCGATAGAGGCATGTTGCATGTAGCAGACGGATTGCCCCTCTTCTTGCATACACTGATAATAAGATCTTTTTCTATGTTAAAGAAAGAGATTCTAAGTTTGATTGAAGAAATCCTCTGCCAGAGGGAACTCACCATTCAAAGGGAATGGTTCAATGATCTATCACATGATTGATTTTCAGCCATGGTGAGTACAAATCTTTGAGACAAGCTAACTGAAGAGGTTCAGGCTTATTTATATTACTGATGCATAATTCTGACTCTTTACCTGTTGCAACATTAAACCATTGGCATGAAGCTGCATCCTGCTTTTGCTTATCTTTAGACCTGAGTTTTAGTCCAGATGTATATCATTCACAACATTAGCTTGTCATTCTTTTTTGTTTATGCGATTATTCTCTCTTTGGAAAGCATCACTCTTTAAACAGATATGTTTATCAAAGTTGAATCATTTACCTTTCAAAGCATGGACCTTTTTTGGCAGATGTTACAACAGCTCCTCATGAAATGAAGTTGCATAATTGTTATCCATCCATGTGATGACTGATTTGGATTTCACAACATGCTATAGATTTCCAGTGAGAATGCTGAATCCTGGAGCTTTAATCAATTTATCTGTGTCCATGCTCAACCTCAAGGCTTCTGCATCTTTAAATCTCCCAACTGATGCATAAAGATTTGAGAGTAGCACAAGTTGACCAGGATCTTTTTTAATCTGCTCATGAAACTTTCTTGCAGCAAATTCTGCTAATTTTAAATCGCTATTACGTGCACATCCGTTCAATATAGCCTTCCAAAGAGTCTTACCATCTCCATTCAAGAACGAACTTACATCAGGCATGTATCCTGCCCGAGCAAGCAAATCAGCGATACAGCCATAATGTTCTGCACTAACTTTGATTCTATTTTCTTCAATTATCTGACTGAAGATCAACAAACCATCACTTGCCAATCCTGAATGGCTACAAGCACTCAAAATGCTCAAGTAAGTAGCACTGTCAGGTATTCCTCCACTCTTTCTGAACTCATAGAACAGCGAAAGAGCAGTTTCTCCATGGCCGTTGATACCATACCCATTTATAATAGCATTCCATGATACAATATCACGAAGAGATGCCATTCGCTCAAAAACATTGTTTGCAAGTTCAACATTCCCACACTTAGAGTAGGTTGATATGAGGCTATTCTGAATACTTCTATAGTTTGTAAGCCCTGTTTTTTTAGTATGGCAATGAAGCTGCATGCAGAGTTCTGAAGCAACCATTTCACCAGCAGTAGTTAGTGCACTCACCAGAAGAACCGAATCAATGAAGAAATTTTCTTCAATTCTAACACGAATGAACATATCTAGTGCTTCCCTGGGCCTTCCATTATGCAAAAGTCCTGAAATGATAGATGTCCATGATACCATACTCTTCATGGTTGAATGATCAAACACAGTTCTTGAAGAATTCAAGTCTTCACATCTTGCATACATAGTAATCATGGCATTATGTAAAGGAAGCTTTGATCCAAAACCTTGAGTTATTACTTGAGCATGAACAGATTTTCCCATCTTCAAGTTCCCCGAAATTCCACAAGCTGAAATGAGATTCATTAGGATGAGGTGATCATATTCATTCGTAGAATCTCTCATATGGAGGAAAATCTTTATAGCATCTGAAGCATATTCTAGGTGAACCAGTAAGCTCATCATCGTTGACCAACTGATGACATCTTTCTCTTCCATTGTATCGAAAATCTCCCAAGCAGCAGGTAACTCCATCAAACTTGAATACAGAAAAAGAAGTGAATTGTTGACCTGTATATCAAACACAAGACCTAACTTAACAACCATGGCATGAACTGATTCACAAAGACATTTCGATCCCATAGCCACACAGCTCTGTGTCAAGGCCATAACTGTCATTGAATTAGGAAACAAACCAGACTCTCTAGACCTATTAAATAACAAGAAAGCCTCTTCAAAGAGTCCATTATGTACAAATGCACTTATCATTGCATTCCATGGAACCAAGCCTTGACTTTTTATGTCCTCAAAAATCTTGCAAGAGTCATTGATATTTCCACATTTTGCAAAAGCCTCTAGAAGTGAAGTACCCACAAATGAATTATCTTCCCACCCCAACTTCACTATCAGCCCATGAACTGATTGTCCAAGTAATAAGTCCTTCAATCCTGAGATCCCCACAAGAACACCCACAATGGTGAATGAGTTAGGCACTAAACCTAAATTTCTCATTGAGGTGAAACGTTCAACTGATTTTTTGTATAACCCATTTTTAGAATAACCATGGATCATGATTGACCAAATAACAACATTCTTTTCAGGTATTTTCTCAAACAGCTCATCTGCATCTTTAACTTTTCCCATCTTCATAAACTCACTTAGCATTCTTGACAAATCATACTTCTTAACAGAACATTCCCATGGTAAAGAAGAATAGAAACATTTAATTACTCTGTAATATTTTTTAACTGAATCAAGAAACATCAGCAATATTCTCTAGCAAAAAAACAGAGGGTATTTTAGTCCAAATTTAGTAAACTTAACGTCCTCCAGTGACAGTTACTTTAAAAACACGGCAAAGAATCTCCGCGGCTTCCACACGGGCTGTACATATCAAGCCACGTGGCAGCCACGTGAACTCGTCTTCAACCTTAGAACCGACTTTTTCCATTTTCTTATACCCTAAGCTAAAACTTACATAAATCTTGAAACCACATCTACACATCTTCACAAAGTTCTTTCCTTTTTGTGTTTAAATCCAAACTGGGTAATCAAGAATCCAAGAAAAAAACTATGGCTTCTCAAAATCCAACTCCTCCCAAATTATACCCAGAAGTAATTGATTCAAACCCAGAATCTACTTCTCCATTTCTTACAAATACCCAAAAGAACAAATCATCTTCTTCTATGTACCCAACTATTGACATGAAAGAGCTAGCAGAGAATCTATTCCCAGAAACTGAAAACAATCAGCCTAATCAAAATTCCAACTTTGTGTCACTAGAAGAAGTAATTGTCCAAATCCCAGGTGCGATTGTCCATCTGATCGACAAAGAACGTAGCATCGAACTCGCTAGTGGTGAATTCGAGATCGTTCAACTAAAACAGGGAGACAATGTTGTTGCCGTTCTTGCACGTGTCGGAGATCAGATTCAATGGCCTTTAGCGAGAGATGAAGCTGCTGTTAAGCTTGATGAATCTCACTATTTCTTCACTCTTCGTGTACCTTCTGACGCAAATGATGAAGATGGATACGCAGAGAATTTACTCAACTATGGTTTAACAATAGCTTCGAAAGGGCAAGAAAGGGTGTTAAAGGAGTTAGATTTAGTATTGGAAAAGTACAGTGCGTTTAGAGTGGAGAAAGTGAAGAAGGATAAAGGGGTTGCAGAAAAATGGTGGATGGCGCCAAAAGATGTTTCACCAGAAGAGATGGAGAAGAAAAAGGAGGATATGGAGAGGAGTTCTGCAGCTTACTGGACAACTTTAGCTCCGAATGTTGAGGATTATAGTAGCAGTATTGCAAGAATGATTGCAGCCGGGTCGGGTCAGTTGATAAAGGGGATATTGTGGTGTGGGGATGTTACTGTGGATAGGTTGAAGTGGGGGAATGATGTGTTGATGAAGAGGATGGGAAAAGGAAGTAACTCTGAGATTAGCCCTGAGGCTATGAGGAGGATGAGAAGGTACAGTCTTTTTTTCGTTCGTCTGTTGAATTTTACTCTTCATTGAGCATTGATTTGCAATATAATACTCCATCCGTATCAATTTGTTAAACTGGTTTTGACTCGACATAGAGTTAAAGAATTTTGAATCTTGTGGTCTTAGACTAAAGACATGTAGAATGTATCAAAATGCTCTTTGATCTTGTGGTTAAACATGTCACATGGAAAGTTGGAATTAGAAGTTTCAGAAAGGGAAAGAGACATTCTTTTTTAAATGGATTAAAAGGGATAGGAATGAACAAATTGAAACGGAGGGAGTACTAGTTTCAAGTGTAGCTGAATGGATTTTTTAGGATTGATATAGTTTACCTCATCTTGTTTGGAATTGAGACGTAGTAATACTTGATTAATTTCTCAGCTACTTTGATGAGTTTGTTACAAATTGATTAGAGTTTCACTTGAATGATCTTTATGCATATTTTCGTTCTGTTCCTTATAGGGTGAAGAAGATGACAAAAATGTCAGAGAAAGTGGCAACTGGTATACTCTCAGGTGTAGTGAAGGTCTCTGGATTCTTCACAAGTTCTATTGTGAACTCAAAAGCTGGTCAGAGATTCTTTAGCCTTCTTCCTGGAGAAATTGTTCTTGCTTCCTTGGATGGATTCAGTATGTGTTTCTACTCGACGAACTGTCTTTTTTAAGTTAGTTGAACATTTTCATTTATCTGTTTTGTGTGTGAATTGAGGGGAATAAAATCCACTTGCTGTGTTCATAAGAAGAACAGAACTACTATGTTATTTTCTTTCTAGACTCCTGATATTGTTCGTTTGGCTATATTATAACAGATAAGGTTTGTGATGCCGTGGAAGTGGCCGGAAAGAATGTGATGTCAACAACCTCAGTAGTGACAACTGGTCTTGTTCAACAGAGGTAAGTTTTGTTTTGTTGCTAAAGATGGAGGTTAAATGAAAGCTGTATTAGCAGAGAATTGGAAGTTCTCCAAACTCACATAGCGATTAACTCACACTGTGGTTCTTCTGGTCTGACATTATGTTAGATGGAAGTTTGTTATTTTAAAAAAAAAGGCATGGTTTTACTGTAAACCTTGCAATTTCTTTTGAAGTTCTCTTCCATAAATATGAGAACAAACATCAGGTAAACCACAACCATCTCTTTAGATAATTGTAGTAATAGACTTATTGTATCCCCGAACTGCTACCTGACAATTTTGGGCAATCAATCTTTCAAAGAAGAGTCCTGTAAGCCACAAGTCTTGTTTGTTTTAGGGTGCGTTTGGTAGAAAGGAAAATGTTTTCAGGGAAGTAAGTGAAAAAGTCTTGTGTCTCCGTACGTAAGCAAAAATTAATTATGCAAGTTGGAGTAGGAATAGGGGTAGGGTTGGTGGGGATGGGGCGAAGATGAGGTCTATCGTACACAATTGACATGGAATGTCACTGATGGAACCTGCTTTCCTTCCTTTTCATTAGGAAAGTTATTTTCCTCATTCCCTAAGAAACTTATTTGTTAAAGAAAATGCTTTTCAAAATTTTTAACCGAACAGGTCCGACTCTTTTCATGGTCTTACTTTCTGCATCCATTCCTCAGTATGGTTAAACTTATGTTGATGCAGGCATGGTGACCAGGCGGCACAGATGACACGTGAAGGATTCGATGCTGCAGGGCATGCTTTAGGGACTGCGTGGGCTGTGTTTAAGATAAGAAAAGCTCTGAATCCAAAGGGTGCTATCAAGCCTACTACAGTTGCAAAAGCTGCTGCTCAAGCTAGCCTTGCTAAGCTGAAGAGCAAGCAGAAGTAAATAGGATCTGGATGTTCCACTTGCCATCTCTTAACTTCCTCACTCACTCAGTTTTATTTATTGCTTAATTAGAGAGTTTGTCTTTGCGTGTGAGCTACTTTGAGAGAAAATGATGTAATGTAATGTCTAGCTTTGAATTTGCAGGAACGATAGTGTATGTATTGGCTTTATTGCTATAGTCATTTGCTAGTTGGCAACTTAATTTGTTGAGACCTCAAGATTTTAGTTGGTGTTTGGTTGAAAATTGGAAATGGAAAAAAGAAGTAGCTGAAATTGAAGTTAAAAAGATACAATTTGTAACTTAAAAGTCTGTGTTTATACTTGGAAAAATATTTTGATGTTTAAAGACATATAAAAACACATGCTTAAATCAGACTTTACTTCAAAGAATTTTGGGCAGTGAACAGCAAATATAGAAGGGAAAACGAAAATTCAACCCTTTTATATATGCGGGTGGCTCAATGCCCTTTAAATGAGGCATGTCTTAGGCTTCCAAAATCAAAAGGGCCTAATTTTTTAGTAATAATAAATTATTATAAGCCTTTTTTAACAAAAAAAATATACTATATTTTTTAATTTATTTATCGTATTTTTAGTTTGTTTCGAAACGCCTGACAATTTTGGGCAATCAATCTTTCAAAGAAGAGTCCTGTAAGCCACAAGTCTTGTTTGTTTTAGGGTGCGTTTGGTAGAAAGGAAAATGTTTTCAGGGAAGTAAGTGAAAAAGTCTTGTGTCTCCGTACGTAAGCAAAAATTAATTATGCAAGTTGGAGTAGGAATAGGGGTAGGGTTGGTGGGGATGGGGCGAAGATGAGGTCTATCGTACACAATTGACATGGAATGTCACTGATGGAACCTGCTTTCCTTCCTTTTCATTAGGAAAGTTATTTTCCTCATTCCCTAAGAAACTTATTTGTTAAAGAAAATGCTTTTCAAAATTTTTAACCGAACAGGTCCGACTCTTTTCATGGTCTTACTTTCTGCATCCATTCCTCAGTATGGTTAAACTTATGTTGATGCAGGCATGGTGACCAGGCGGCACAGATGACACGTGAAGGATTCGATGCTGCAGGGCATGCTTTAGGGACTGCGTGGGCTGTGTTTAAGATAAGAAAAGCTCTGAATCCAAAGGGTGCTATCAAGCCTACTACAGTTGCAAAAGCTGCTGCTCAAGCTAGCCTTGCTAAGCTGAAGAGCAAGCAGAAGTAAATAGGATCTGGATGTTCCACTTGCCATCTCTTAACTTCCTCACTCACTCAGTTTTATTTATTGCTTAATTAGAGAGTTTGTCTTTGCGTGTGAGCTACTTTGAGAGAAAATGATGTAATGTAATGTCTAGCTTTGAATTTGCAGGAACGATAGTGTATGTATTGGCTTTATTGCTATAGTCATTTGCTAGTTGGCAACTTAATTTGTTGAGACCTCAAGATTTTAGTTGGTGTTTGGTTGAAAATTGGAAATGGAAAAAAGAAGTAGCTGAAATTGAAGTTAAAAAGATACAATTTGTAACTTAAAAGTCTGTGTTTATACTTGGAAAAATATTTTGATGTTTAAAGACATATAAAAACACATGCTTAAATCAGACTTTACTTCAAAGAATTTTGGGCAGTGAACAGCAAATATAGAAGGGAAAACGAAAATTCAACCCTTTTATATATGCGGGTGGCTCAATGCCCTTTAAATGAGGCATGTCTTAGGCTTCCAAAATCAAAAGGGCCTAATTTTTTAGTAATAATAAATTATTATAAGCCTTTTTTAACAAAAAAAATATACTATATTTTTTAATTTATTTATCGTATTTTTAGTTTGTTTCGAAACGTTAAAGAATGTTTCTTTTTTATGGATCAATTTTTAAATTTAACATCCACATGATATGTTTAAGACCACAAGATTAAAAAATATTTTGGTATATATATATCTTTAGTTTAAGATCATAAAAAAATAAAACTTTTTTTATTAAAAAGAAAGAAATAATTTGAATCTCAGATATAATAAAATAATTAAAATTTAGGCTTCCAATTTATTTTTGGTTTTAGGCCACAAATTAACTTGAGCCGTCACGGTATATATGTTATAATTTTGTTCTACTCCAAGATATGAGCAAGTTTCAACCTGGATTAAATGGACTCCACATCCAAATATATGGAAAAAAAATTATGTGTACTCTTAGTTATGATTTAACAGTTACTATGTTAGGATTAAGTGCAAATACAAGATAATTTAGTTATGACAAGTATATGAACAACTTCATAATATAATGAAATGTTTAACATAAGATATTTCGTATGTCTATTTTGATCATTTCCTAATTGAAAATGACATTCCATATAGTTTTTGTCGAAAAATTGTTTGTCCATTTATTTTAGTTGTTCCTAATTACTTGTTCATTTTGACAAATTAAGAAAGAACAATTTATTTTTTACCTATTATACTCTCAATTAATAACTTTGAAAAAAGATAAAACTTGTTGAAAATCTTAAGTTTTTAATTCATCCACTTCATAATTAATAGGGTAAAATAGTAAATTCACTATTTCAATCATTATTTTCTTAATAGGTGTGTCAATTTAAAAGTGGACAAGTAATTAGGAAGAAAGAGGAGAAATAAACTAAAGAAATAATAAGAATGTTTCGGGTTATAGGTTAAAATAATTCTTTAAATATAATTATAAATGATTTCAGTCCTTAAAATAATCCATTTCTTGCGTCTTCAAATATTTAAGAAAGGTTGGTTATTAAATTTAACAAAAACTGTAGTAAAAGAAGGCAATGAAATTAATAGAAATTCACATTTGAGGTGTAACTTTTATAGTTTATATTATTTTTAATTTATTCATGATAGCTCATATAATTTTTGGTGTTTGATCGGATTCTATAGTGTTTCTTGTTTTGATTTTTTTTAAATATTTGATGAAAACAAAAAATATTCAATTTTTATAAAATTTAAAGAATTAAAATTGCTCAAAAATATATTTAAGAGATCCTCTTTTAAGTTTTAAAAAACTTATTCTCAAACATAATGACTTTTTTTTGTCATTTTCTTTACCTAAAGTTAATCAAAAAGATTATTGGAGTAATTAGCAAAGAGAAAAGTATTGAAAGCGTTCTTAAACTTGGCGTAAATTATAAGTTTCATCCTCGATTTATTGACAACCTTAAAAATACACATTGCTTGACTAATTAAACTTAGGTATATCCCCGATAAACCCTCAATATGCCACAAGACACATCAAGTTGTCTCAAATTATTGTAGGAGCATGGGGCTCTTAGTAAAAGATTGAGAGAAGTGTTGAAAACAATTCCAATCTTAAGGAGAATTTAGTTATGTATTTCACTCGTGTTGCAAGATTAGAGGTGTATTTAATTTCAATTAATCTAGTAATCCCTAAATTCTCATCAAGATTAGAATGGTTTTCAACACTTTTCTCGACCTTTTACTAAGAGTCTCATACTCTTACAAGAATTTGAGACAACTTGGTATGTCATGTGGAGATCGGGGGTGATTTAAGTTCATTTAATTAAGTAGAGAAGTATTTTTAAAAATGTCAATAATTCGAGGACGACAGTAATAATTTACATCAAGTTGAAGGGTCTTTCTAATTAATAACTTAGGAGGGTAGGGTGCTTGGGACGGCGTCGTTCTGGAGGCAATTGGCTTGTCGCCCAAGAAGTGATGTATATTCATTCAGAGGCAATTCCATTTTCCAAAATAACATAAAAAGGTTAGAGGGAAGAGCTTTCAACACTCAAGAGATCGGAAGAAGCTGAAATCACACAGACCCTAAATCTTTCAATAGCTTTTAGTACTATCAGATAATGGCTAGATACGACAGAGCGATCACCGTTTTCTCGCCGGACGGCCACTTATTCCAAGTGGAGTACGCCATGGAAGCCGTACGCAAAGGAAACGCCGCCGTCGGTGTACGTGGAACTGACACTGTTGTCCTTGGCGTTGAGAAGAAGTCCACTCCCAAGCTTCAAGACTCCAGGTACCTCTTTTTTTATTATTATTTCGTTTTAAGATCTAGAAAGGCAATATTTAGGTTTACTCTGTAATTCCGCGAGATTTAGGATTTTTTCCCTCAATTTTATGGACTGTGACATGGTACTACTAATGTGCGTATCTCATTAAGTTCGTCTCTACATGTTAAATATCTTGGTTTCTGGGTAGTTCAACTGGAAGGAGAGAAAGCTTTAAATAATTTTCAGTTTATCAATAGAAGGTTCAATATATGGAGGTTCTTTTCCTTGCTTTTTGCCTGGGCAAGTGGTTTAGCTGAACTTTTATTATCATCTGGGCCTAATGGTGTGTATTATAATGTACTTCTTATTTGATGTGCTGGAGGCTTGGGAGGAAATGCCAATCAGTGAGGAAAATATTTACAGTTCAAGCCTGCGTGTGTTGGGTAATATGGATAGAAAGCAACCCAAGCTGCTTTGAAAGAAAAATAGGTGCTGTTCAGAAATTGAAATGTTTATGTTAAAGGATTTTGGCTTTTTGGTGTAATCTTCTGGATGTAAAACATGAAAGTAACATGCTTAACTTTATAGACTCACTACAGGAGTAGATGCTTGTATAGGTGGAACCTTCTCATTTTGTTTTTGCTCAGGAAGGTTTCAGACATGTAATTCCATGACACCATCTTAGTGCCCTGTTTTCTCAATTTAATAGAATGACATATTTACCTGTTAAAAAGAAATATTTGCATTGTCATTGATATCAATGTCAGAGCTTTCTATTTGGATTATGGTTTTTCCCCTCAAGGGTGGGTTGAGCTAGGTTATGTGTTTACTTTATTTGTTAGGTGATGTGATCTGTCAAATACATAACACTTAAGTTTACTTTGATCACCCTCGTCTAGTGTTCTTGGTAAATAGACATTGCTCTTGCATTTTATTTAGTTGTCCACCTGCTTTGAAACTCTAAGCTAATTAATCTCTTTCGTGTTTGCAGGTCAGTAAGAAAGATAGTAAATCTAGATGATCACATTGCATTGGCGTGTGCTGGGCTGAAAGCAGATGCACGAGTGCTTGTGAATAAGGCACGCATTGAGTGTCAGAGTCATAGGCTTACGGTTGAAGATCCTGTTACTGTTGAGTACATAACTCGTTACATTGCTGGTCTTCAGCAAAAGTACACTCAAAGTGGTGGGGTGAGGCCATTTGGTCTATCCACCTTGATCATTGGTTTTGACCCACACACAGGTGTCCCCTCACTTTACCAAACAGATCCATCAGGTACATTCTCAGCTTGGAAAGCCAATGCGACTGGTAGAAACTCCAACTCTACTCGGGAATTCTTGGAGAAGAATTACAAAGAAACATCTGGCCAGGAAACTGTGAAACTAGCAATACGTGCTTTGCTTGAAGTAAGTGGCCTCTGTTTATAGTTGTTCTCAAGCTTTTTGTTAATAAGTTTTCCTTTCACAACATCATAAATAATGTGAGTTCTGTTGCATGTTAAGATCTGGGCCTTATATTGTCTTGCTTCTCTTAAAATATCGGTGTTATCTTGAGTTGCTTTTCATCGTCCTATATTTAGATTTTAAAAACATAAGGGATCATTCAGTTATTAAATTCTCCCTTCCTTCCTAGTTCAATCAATCAACTAATCTCAGTTCCAAGATAGTTGGTAATATGAACTCTTTTATCCATCCCAATCTATGCAGGCGCATTTACAAGGTAATATTTGTGAAGTACAAGGGAGGAAGTGAAGTTTATTTTGCCCTAGGAAAGATGTTAAACATATTGAGAAGTGAGGATGAAAAGTAGTAGCTGCATTTTCTGCTTAGGGAATGAGCATCTTTTATTTCCAGAAATCCAAATCCTTCAAAATTAGTTCTCTAAATGTTTGTTCTGCTTCAAAGAAAAGTGCTCTAGGAGAATGGATTAATTGATTGTGCGTGCAAATTGGTGTAGATACCACAGTTATTTATACAAAACAGGTGCATATGTCAAATCCCTCTTTCCATGGCTTGAACGCTGCTCTTTATGATTCCACACAAGTTATCAACTGTGATTTGAACGCTGCTCTTTATGATTCCACACAAGTTATCAACTGTGATTTGAACGCTGCTCTTTATGATTCAAGTTGTTGACTAAATATTGTTTACGCGCATTGAAATACATGACAGTTTCCGTTTGGGATTTCTGCATTGGTATTTAGGGAACAAATACACGCATCCAGCAAAAATGGAAAGAGCATAGTTGGATGTGAGCATTTGTTTTGGCTGTAGTGATTTTAAAACATGTGTTTCCCTATGAATCAGGTTGTTGAAAGTGGTGGAAAAAACATAGAAGTTGCTGTGATGACAAAAGAGCATGGGCTTAAGCAACTTGAGGAAGCTGAAATTGATGCCATTGTTGCTGAGATCGAAGCAGAGAAAGCTGCTGCAGAAGCAGCCAAAAAGGCCCCGCCGAAGGAAACCTAGTTGTGCTGAAATTTGTTCTTAACTATCCCTGAATCCTTTCTTTTTTCGGATCAAGCCAAGTGCAGTGTTACTTGAATTTTAAGATTTTGGTCTGTCTAATACTTTACCTATGTTAAAATTGTCTGATGGGACTAAAAAAGTCATGCTCTCGCGATCTGTGCCCTATTTGTGTGTTGCTTGATATTTTAAAGTTTTATCATGTTATTTGGTATTTCTTGGAGTTTGGAAATTTGGTTGTGAAATATCAGCATTTGTCTGTGCTCTTTCCTCTATTCTGAAGGTATCTTCTGGATAAATTGGTGGAACACGAATAGAAAAGGCTTTTGTTTCAATGGTTTACCATTGGTTTTGATCCACGGCCTAACTGCAGAGTCTGCAGTACAGTTGGTCGATTCTGGGATAAACATTTAAGCCATTCCTGTAGTGTGAAATTTTGTGGTCGTTTGGTAGAGTGTATTAGCAAAAATAATGCATGCATTAACTGTATGTATTAGTGGTTTCTTGTTTGGTACATTTTTTCATGCTATGTATAAGCTAGCGTTTGGCCATAGATTTTCAAATATTTTTGACAAATATGATTTGGGTGAAATTTTAGCATGTGCTTGGCTAAATAGGATTTATACCCATAAGTTTTAAAAACTAACCATAAGTTTGTATTACAAGTCAATATTATCTTCGTTACAACAAACAACAATTAGTGTTCATGACACTGGAGCAATGTGGTAGTTTGAAGTGAGTGCAACAAGCATCGTTTCATACAACGTGAATTAGACAAACACATGACTTTGTTACCATGAATTGATTGTTCATCATTTTCATCAATAATCATATCATCACTTTCATATTCACTGAATATTTTAACACTACTTTGGTGTTCATGTAAAAAATTATGTAATAAATCATATACAACTACTATAGAGAGTATTTTTGTAAAAAATAAAAGTTTGGTGTAGAATTTAAATTTTTAAAAGATCTCAAAGAATGAGATTTGACCCAAATACTAGCTGTTTGGCCATAGATTTCCCAAATAATATTTGTTTTTTTCTAGTATTTGGACCAAATCTCATTATTTGGGATCTTTTAAAAATTGAAATTTTACACCAAACTTTTATCTTTTACAAAAACATCCTCTATAGTAGTTGTTTGTGTCGTATTACATAATTTTTCACGTGAACACCAAAGTAGTGATGAAATATTCAGTGAATATTAAATGATGATATGGTTGTTGATGAAAATGATGAACAATCGGTTCAGGGTAATAAAGCCATGTGCTTTATCTACTTCACGATGTATGGAATGATGCTTGTTGCACTCACTCCAAACTACCACATTGCTCTAGTGTCATGGACACTATTTGTTATTGTTGCAACGAAGATTCAATTGACTTGTCATACAAACTTATGGTTAGTTTTGATAGTTTTTAAAACTTATGGGTATAAATCATATTTTTCTAAAAAAGTGAAATATATTTCTCAAATACTATGGCCAAACACATGGTGAAATTTCACCCAAATTTTCATCCAAATAATATTTGCCAAGAATATTTAGAAATCTATGGCCAAACGCTAGCTAATTTTTTCTAGTATTTGAAAATTTGGGTTCAAATAATGACAAATTGTATGGACAAACACTATTTGCCAAATTTTTCCCCAAATTCTACTTGGGAAATCTATGGCCAAATGGGTCACTCTATTGTGTATTTGTAATACTATGAATTTCTATGTATTAGAAATGCAAAGTAATTTATTACATGTATTAGCATGGTTGAAGATCCAACCTCTCAAAATTACTTTTATATCTATAATTGTCGAGGATATTTTTATACAATGCATACTATTTTCAATACATCAAACCAAACAATGCATAACTAATACAAGTATAACTAATAAAACATTATTAATATACTCTATTAAACATTTTATTTTTATACACTCTATCAAATGACCCTTCCACTTTGGAACAACTTCAAATATGGGGTTTATTCTATTTATACACAAAACATATGATTTATGTTTAGTCACTTTTGTGTGAACTGTGATTTCTTGAGTTGTTTTTTATGTGAGTAAACACACGGAAGTTATTTAGGAGAATTAATGCATGTATTAACTCTATATATTAGTAAATATCTTATTTGGTACACTATTTCAACTTATGTATAACTAAATATTTTATGGTGTATTATAATCAGTGGCGAATTTATGTGTAAAAATTGGGTCACCCGAACCCGTGGTCTTCCGACTAAACTCGATATATTACTTGTATAATTACTAAAGAACATATTAAATAAACACTTGTTGAACCCGTTCTTAAAGATGCTTGATGGTTCACTGGGTTGACAGTCAGATTTTAACACCAAGGTCCTGAGTTCAATCCCAGCCAGCCACAATTCACTTCAATTTTTTTAGTAACTAATAAACACTCGTTTTTTCAAAAAAAAAAACGAAATTCTAAAGCAATGGTGCACCCATTTTCTTGAAATCCTGGATTCGCCTCTGATTATAATATGTATTACTAATATCATGAATTTCTAGGTATTAGTAATGCAAGAGATTTAATGCATGCAATAAGCATGGTGAAAAACTCAATTACCCTTCAAAATTATTTTTACATCTTTTCCACCATAACTGTGGAAGATATTTTTGTAAATTAATATTTTTATGCAATGCATGCAATTTTGAATATATCAAACCAAACAATGCATAAATATTATCTATGTACAATTAATATAAGTATTATTAATACAATGTATTTGGCATTATCTTTATACACTTTACCAAACGTGTAGAATTTGGCCATCTGGTTAATGTGGAAGTCACAACTATATTTAATTGAATAAAAAAAGAAACCCAAACACATTCTGAATCAGCTTTTTAACAAATGATGATAAGTTAATAGAAAGTATTTTCTTTGGAAATTAAAATGACCACACAGAGATCTGTCGAATAATATTGATGCTTATTTTGCAAGGGGGAGGAGAGGAGAAGAGAGTCGAATGAATCTTCAGTAGACAGTAGTGTTGTGCTAGTTGGCTCATATTTATGCCTTTTCAGCTCACGTATAAAACCTGTAGCGCGATGCTAAACATGAATTTAAAATTAGAAATGGCTAAAGAAAGAAAGCTTTTCTGTTGAGATCCAGCATAAATTGTACACACTCCCTCCCGTCTTCCTTAATTTCTGCAATTGCCATAGCTTCTAATTTTTCTACCCAACCCACTATTTCACAATTGTGGAACAAATTTTCTCACTATATGGGATTAGAACAACATGCTCTCTACCACTTTCATACAACAAATATTCTCAAGGAAAGAAAACAATACATACCAAGATATAAAATTATACCTCCGAAAATCATCTATTAGATACATCAAGACACCACTACTGCCTACTGGCAATTAGATTTACAGGGTTTTAACAATAATTTTCATCAATTCACCTAGATAAATCATCTATTTGCTCCTACACACACACAAAGATACTAAATATAATAGGTTTCAACAATCAATCTTAAAAGATAAAACAGGAATGTATTATCTTTAAAATATCAAGCAACATACAAATAGGGCAGAGATCGCGGGAGCATGACTTCTTTAGTCTCATAAAACAATTTTAACATAGGTACCAAATATTAGACAGACCAAAATCTTAAAATTCAAGGAACACTGCACTTAACTTGATCCAAAAAAAGAAAGGATTCAGGGAAAGTTAAGAATGAATTTCAGCAGAACTAGGTTTCTTTCGGCGGGGCCTTTTTGTGCTGCTTCAGCTAGCAGCTTTCTCTGTTTCGATCTCAGCAACAATGGCATCAATTTCAGCTTCCTCAAGTTGATTAAGCCCATGCTCTTTTGTCATCACAGCAACTTCTATGTTTTTTCCACCACTTTCAATAACCTGATTCGTAGGGAAACACATGTTTAAAAATCACTACAGCCAAAACAAATGCTCACATCCAACTATGCTCTTTCCATTTTTGCTGAAGGTCTAGTTGGATGCATGCATTTGTTCCCTAAATACCAACACAGAAATCTCAAACGGAAGCTGTCATATACTTCAATCCGCTTAAACAATATAATTTAGTCAACAACTTTAATCATAAAGAGCAGCGTTCAAATCACAGTTGATAACTTAGCATGTGTGAGTGCATATGTACGTCAGAAATAAATGATCTAAAATGCAAGTTAAGTCACCTCTTACAACGAAGAGGTAATTACTTCCCGTGAATGAGCAAGTCATAATTCATAAGTTCTTGAGGCCGTTTAAGAAAGCCCAAAGTTTGCCATGGAAAGAGGCGTTTTGACATATGTGGAATTCATAGGAAGACATTTTTCAAATGTCTGCGGTATTCCATTGGCCACTCCTAAATAACTGTGGTATCTACGCCAATTTGCACGCACTCGACTAATCCATTCTCCTACAGCACTTTTTTTTAAAACAGAACAAACATTTAGAGCACTAATTTTGAAGGATTTGGATTTCTGGAAATAAAATAAGCTCATTCCCTAAGCAGAAAATGCAGCTACTACTTTTCATCCTCACTTCTCAATATGTTTTAACATCTTTCCTAGGGAAAAATAAACTTCACTTCCTCCCTTGTAACTTCACAAATATTACCTTGTAAATGCGCCTGCATAGATCAGGAAGGATAAAAAAGTTCATATTACCAACTATCTTGGAACTGAGCATAGTTGATTGATTGAACTAGGAAGGAAGGAAGAGTTTAATAACTGAATGATCCCTTATGTTCTGAATATCTAAAAATAGGACAATGAAGAGCAACTCAAGTTAACACAGATATTTTAAGAGAAGCAAGACAATATAAGGCCCGGATTTTAACATGCAACTGAAACTCACATTATTTATGATGTTGTGAAAGGAAAATGTGTAACAAAAATGCTTGACAACAACTATAAACAGAGGCCACTTACTTCAAGCAAAGCATGTATGGCTAGTTTCACAGTTTCCTGGCCAGATGCTTCGTTGTAATTCTTCTCCAAGAACTCCCGAGTAGAGTTAGAGTTTCTACCAGTCGCATTGGCTTTCCGGGCTGAGAATGTACCCGATGGATCTGTTTGGTAAAGTGAGGGGATACCTGTGTGTGGATCAAAACCAATGATCAAGGTGGATAGACCAAATGGCCTCACCCCATCACTTTGAGTGTACTTTTGCTGAAGACCAGCAATGTAACGAGTTATGTACTCAACGGTAACAGGATCTTCAACCATAAGCCTATGACTCTGACACTCGATGCATGCCTTATTCACAAGCACTCGTGCATCTGCTTTCAGCCCAGCACACGCCAATGCAATGTGATCATCTAGATTTACTATCTTTCTTACTGACCTGCAAACACGAAAAAGATTAATTAGCTTAGAGTTTCAAAGCAGGTGGACAACTAAATAAAATGCAACAGCAATATCTAATCACTGAGAACACTAAACGAGGGTGATTAAAGTAAACTTAGGTGTAACGTATTTGACTGAACACATCACCTAACAAATAAAGTAAGCAGATAACCTAGTTATACATATGACAAAAGGATTACAAGTGCTCAAACTCCTAATCTTCAACCACCAGAGAAGAGACACCCTTTTGTCCTAGTCTGTATTACCTCATGGAAGTTGTCATTTTGAGACAGTTCATTCTCGCGGAAGGGATAGTTAGGGCATAGCACACAGAATATGTCAGAGTAGTCTTACATCCACTTGGTTCAAGCTCCTTACGTGACCAAATTAATATCTTTCCTGAAAAGCTTTTTTAAGCTGCTCCGTGGGGCCTCAATTTTATATCCATTGTATGGATTGTTTTGTCAATCTCCCTAGCCCGACCCACCCTCGAGGGGAAAAACCATAATCCAAATAGAAAGCTCAACATTGATATCAATGACAATGCAAATATTTCTTTTTAACAGGTAAATATGTCAGTCTATTAAAATGAGAAAACAGGCACTAAGATGGTGACAGGGAATTACATGTCTGAAACCTTCCTGCGCAAAAACAAAAAGAGAAGGTTCCACCTATACAAGCACCTACTCAGGTACTGAGTCTATAAAATCAAGCATGCTACTTTCATTATTTACATCGAGAAGATCACACCAAATTCCAAAATCCATTAACATGAACATTTCAATTTCTGAACAACACCTATTTTTCTTTCAAAGCCCCTTGGGTTGCTTTCTATCCATATTACTCAACACATGTAAATATTTACCTCACTGATTCGCATTTTCTCCCAACACTCTAGCACATCATATAAGAAGTACATTATATTACACAGCATTAGGCCCAGATTGATAATAAAAGTTCAGCTAAACCACTTGCCCAGGCCAAAGGCAAGGAAAAAAATATCTATATTTTGAAGCTTCTATTGATAAACTGAAAATTGTTTAAAGCTTACTCTTCTTCCAGTTGAACTTCCCAGAAAACAAGATATTTAACAACATATAGACACAACCTTAAGTAAATAAATAGTTAAGTTAAGGGGATTAGGTTAGAATATTTTATACTAAAAATCAAGTTGATTGACTAAGAACCTGTTTGACCTTCACAAACTTGTAAACAATGAAAGTAAGAGAAAAGTTCATGTGCTCTGCGTTCAAGAAGAAAACCTTTTACCTTGGATCCTTGCAGTGTTGCATACTGGGCATAGAAACTGAAGTCACCATACTCAGACAGAGCCAAACTTTTGGGGTCACTATCAACCTGTCTTCGATATACTTTTTCTCCTCTTGATGAGTCCTTTTATCAGAGTGAAATAAGTGGACTTTTGTAGATCAATACCTCTCTGAGTGACTTGTGCATAGATAAGCATTGCATCCTTATATCTTCCTTCCGCACAAAGCTCATCAATCTGCTGTGAATAAGCGATTGAACTTGAATCTAGTTCATCAACTCTGAGTTCATGTTCCCTGTCATCCATTTGCAACCGCTGTTCAGATGGTCTTTCTCTGTCTGTCATAAATTCTTCTGCCTCTTTAAGCCTTCCAGCATCAGTAAGTGCACCAACAATAGCATTATGTGTGTACTTATCACGCTGGATATTTTTCTCTTCCATTTCAGCTACAAGGCCCAGAGCATCATCAAGTCTTTGATCTTTACAAAGAGCTGTTATCAAGGTGTTATAAGTTACTACATCAGTGGTCTTCCCTTTATCAATCCACGTATTAAAGAGCTTAATGGCTTTTTCAAGCATGCCTTCCCTACTAAGTCCCCTAAGAAGAATGTTGCACGTATATACATCAGGCTTAAAAGAATTCTCAACCATTTTGTTGTGAAATTGAAATGCTTTCTCAATGTTCCCCTCCCAGCAGTATCCATGAATAATGGTATTATATGTTATTTCATCAGGCACTATACCCTTCTCTAAAAGTTCATTCAGTTTAGCAATTGCCTGCTGAGTTTTACCCGATTTACATAGCCCTCCAATTATGATGTTGTAGGTGACAATAGTGGGAATTACCTCTCTCTCTTCCATCTCATCCCAAAGCTTAAGAGCTTTTTCCGTATCTGCACATCTAAAGTAGCCAGTAATAAGAGTGCCATAACTTACTGCATCAACAAGATAGCCCCTGGTAGGAGCAACAGAGAGCAACTCGTAGGCCTCATCAAGCTTCCTTTCTTGACAAAGAATGTGAAGCAATGTATTGAGAGAAAAATTATCCATTTTCAAACCTTTTTCACCTATTCGTTTCATTATCCTCAATACTTCTGGTAGATTTCCTGCTTTACAATATGCACTTATCAGAGTATTATAGGAAACACAATCTGGACATAAACCACTTTCTTCCATCTTTTGAAGTACCTCTCTAGCTTTATCCATCTTCCCTTCCTTGCAATACCCTTTAATCAATGTATTATACGTAATTTCATTACATTTGATCCCCTTCTGATTCATCTCTTCAAGCAGATCAAAGGCCTCTGAACTTCTCTTATTATCAAGACACCCATTGATCAGGGTGTTGTAAGTTTTCACATCAGGCAACAATTTCAATCCTACCATCTCATCCCGAATCCTAATTGCATCATCAATCCTTCCTTCGTTACACAGACCACCAATCAACATATTATAAGTCCAAACATCAGGCAAAGTATTGTTCTGTGTCATCAGCTCGACAATCTGAGCAGCATCCTTCAACCACCCAATTTTACAATAACCATGTACCAAAATATTATATGTATTCCTATTCGGCATAAGACCTTTACCCTTCATATCCAACAACAAATCCCTAACCTCATTCAACCTTCCTTTCTCACACAACCCATCCAATATAGTATTATAACTCACATTATCGGGCACACATCCAAATTCACTCATTCTATCCAGCAATTGATTAGCATCCTTATACTTGTAAGCTAAACAATACCCTTTAATCAAAATATTGATAGTAATTGTAGTTGGGCACAAACCAAGCTTAAGTGCATCATTAAACAGCTCATTACATAAAAATAGAGAGTGAGTAGAAGGGTACTTAACCAAAGCAGTAATCAAAGTATTGAAAGTAATGATGTTAGGGCAAAGTCGAAGGCGCTTCATCTTCTTGAAAATCTGAAGTGCGAGATGGGGTTTCCCGCATTGGCAATAAGCACCTATAGCAGTATCCAACAATTCGGTTGAGGGTTGAGGGAAATTGGAAATGGGGTGAAGGAGATGACGATGGAGAAGATGTTGAGGATGATCGGAAGGGATAAAAGTGAGGAGAAGGGATCTTGCAACGGTGAATCTGCGATGGGATAAGAGGGAGGATAAGAGAGGGAGAAGAGAAGGGAAAGGGAGGGGGTGGGTGGAGAAAGAGGGTATGTGGGATTGAGACCATTGGAAGAAGGAGAAGAGAGTGGAAGGGCGAGAAGAGAGAGTGGGAGAGGAGAGAATGGAGTGAATAATGGGAGGAGTGAGGTGAGGGAGGTAGGATTGGAGAGAGGATTTGGGTAGAGACCTGGCGGAGGAAGAGAGGAGAGTGGTGATTGTTTGAACTAGTTGACAGGGCTTCAATGGAGGATATGAAGAACTCATGATTTTGGGGTTACACAGAGTGCGCTGCGCGGGGAAGAAGGGCTTAACACAGGTTTCAGCCTTGTTGTTTTAGGTGAGCTGTGTTCAAGGTTTTGCTTATGTCTTGGTCGGGTCTTCTTCATTTTTGTTTGATAATTTTTAATTTCCATCGTATTTATTTAATGAAAATGTGTTATTTTAAATATATTTAACTATGACTTAATTTCATTAGATAAATCTTTTTAAAGAAACATTTATTCTAGGCATAAGTTAAATATTATCTAATTAGCAAGATAAATATAAAAATAAATCATTGTGTTTAAGTTCAATTTTCGAATATTTTGACTTAAGAAGTTTATAAATATGTCTTAAACGTTCATACTACTGGGCATAAGTAATACATAAGATAAAAAAAAAAAAAAAATTATGCCAACTTTTTAAGATATCACATTTTAAAACTAAATTATGTTTTATAATGCATAACTTGTGCCTAGCAAATTTCGCTTTACCTTGTGAATATATTTTTTGTCTTGCAATTTATTTTTTAAAATTATTAAAGATATTTTTATTACTTAAAAAGGTGAAAGATAGATATTAAAAATCCTAATTTTTTAGGCAAAAATTATAGATCACTTCGAAATATGGGCAATCTTGCAAATGCTACGGGAAAATGAAAAAAACTGTTCAAGTAGGATTATTAAAATTTTGGGCTTAGTTATGGAATGATAATAAAGTGGGCCTGTTTGGACTGGTCGCCTTTGCAGTGTCTTCGATCTGCAATTGGGCGCTTTGTTCAATTTCATCTTAACTTGGGCTTGGGCTCTCCCAGCATTCACGTTATTGATTAAAGCCCAATAACAAATCCTGTTGGGCTAACAAGCTACAATTCCAACTTGTAAGGTGTTTACGAAAGAAGTGAATTAATGGGTAAATCACATAAATATGCTATATTAAAAAAATATTTACCATCTATGACAATATAACTTTTTTAACGTAATATAACATTTTTTTGGAATTGAAAATGTTATACGGTTTATCTTCGCTTCGCTTCCTCCTCTTCTTTTTTTTTTCTTCTTCTTTCTCTTTCTCCGTCATTTTTTTTCTTCTTTAAAAATTTCATTTAATTAACTATCCTCAAATTAATATTTGCTCATACTTCACTATTTTTACTCAAGAACATGACGAGAAGAGGAACAGAAAGACTAAAAATTTGTATAGAAATATGTTCTCAAATAGAAATTTCAAATCTCTAAAATTACAGCGGCAAGAGTTCACCATTGATAGTCATTATAAAGCTTCAAATTTTGGATTCATTATTTGAGTTTTTACGAATTTGTGATTAGTTTGGATAGACTGTTCCTACAAATAATTGAAAATGGCGTTTGTAGTTTATATCTCAATTTTAAGAGGGTTTGGTTAAGTTTATAATTGGTAACACACTTATACTACATTTATAATACATGCACATTACATTTTTAATACATATTGCAAATAGCACTCATGTTCTTAGTGATACAAACCAAAATAATTTATAATACACATATAATACATGTTTTATTCAAGATTAATACAAGTTTAATTCAGTTTATCTTGTCTTTCGTTAGTTACATTTTTTCATTTATTCTTAATTTTCTCTTCTAATTCAACTTTAATACTGTGTAATACACTTTTAATGCAAATTTAAATCATTTTGTAGTTTATTATTTTTTACTGTTTGATTACTTGTTTAATTCATTATTGATATAAGTTTAATTCACTTTATAGTTCATTGTCTGGTCTTTCATCGGTTACATTTTTTATTCATGCTTTATTCTCTCTTCTAATTCAACTTTAATAATTGTGTAATACACTTTTACTACAAGTTAATTCATTTTTCAGTTTATTGGTTAATTTGTTACGATTGAATTACTTGTTTAATTCATTATTGATACAAATTTTATTCAGTTTACAGATCACAAAATGCTCTTTCGTATGCTACGTTTTGCATTCATGTTTAAGTCGCTTCTAATTCAACTTTAATATGTGTGTAATACATTTTTAATTCAAGTTTAATTCATTTGGCCAGTTTATTATGTTTCTTCATTTGTTACGATCAGATTACTTGTCTAATTCATTATTGATACAAATTTTATTCAGTATACGAGTCATTGACTGCTCTTTGTTTGCTACATTTTTGCATTCATATTTATTTCTCTTCTAATTCAATTTTAATTCATTTTGTAGTTTATTGGTGATGCATAGAAAAAAAGAATGACTAATTTGATCATGTTGATTTACTTCAATTTATAAGACATGTATAATATATGTTTATTCATTAACAATATATTTATAATACATTTTGCAGACTTCACTCTCTTTTAATGATTCCAATCAAATGATTTATAATACATTTTTAATTTATATTGCAGACATCATTCCAATTTAATACAATCTTTAAAAATAACATACATAGTAACTGTTTAGGTGCTAAATTTTTATAAGAGCTACATATTCGTTAACGTTTATTTTGATCCATATCATTTCTTTTACGACATTAAATATTGAAGGATCAACAACTTAAGTACCATTATAGTGGTTGACAACATAATTTCCAGGGACAGATAGAGAAAGAATGAGCTCAGGATTTTCTTCTCCCTTTAAAGACATAACGAATTGAATTTGTGGTTCAAGATTGTGGATCTTTCAATTGTAGCTTTAAAATATTGATACCTTGCACAGAGAGAATAAAAAGGAGAAAGAGGAGAGAGAGAGAAAGGAGAAAGAGGCGAGAGAGAAACATAAATCAAATAAATACGTAATATTGTTATATATTGCTATAAATGGTAATAATTAAAGAGTATACTTAAAATAAGTAATTATTTTTTAAAAGGAATCCACCCAAGTAATTAATCCTAAATTATCATGAACGTTCCTTTTTAATTGTCGACAATTAATTTGATATAGAATTAGCTACATAGTATGGATTTAATTTGTATCACTAGTCTTTTTATTAAAAAAAAGGGGGAAAATTGACTTTGAAAAAGGTACACTAAACGGATGTTACAGGTTGCAAATTGCAACCATCACTAGCATCTCATTAATTGTCCTTCAATTTCAACACGCATAAATTTCAACTAAGAAATTAAAAATTATATCGTTATTGTTATTATTGTTGTTGTCTAGTTCTGCGAGATAATGCTAAATATATTTAACACAACCCAAGTAGAGTCAACAATTGATTAGATAAATAGAGTTATTTGATTTGTTATTTTATTATTTATTTTTTTGGAGGGGTCCAAAAATAAATGTGAGGAATAAAGAAATACCGAAAAATACTAATATTGGTGGAATTATTAAATGCCACAACAGCCAAGTAAGACTTCAATAATAAAAACAATCTTGATCTTTATTTCATACAAAACAATTAACTACAGGGTGGAGCAAGATTTTAAATTTATGATATCGGAATAAATAATTTGTACATGTTAAATAAAAAAAATTAAATATAAATATAAATTTGAGTCAAAGTTATCGAATTTTGTTAAACATATAAACAAAACTATAACTTCATCCTTACATTTATTATACACTGGTTATACATTGAATATACACCAATGATCGCTACAAATAATGTAATTTATTTTTTTATTTTTTAAGATAAGAGTTTTTCTAACAATAATAGAGTTAAATGGTGGGCCGATCCATAAAGGATGAAAGGAGAAAGGGAGTTACGGCTCAACAGTTTCCACAAATGGGCCAATATTGCTTTAATTGGTATTGACATCTATATCATCAGGTGGCCCTTTTTATTTAATTTTTCTTCTCATATTCTATAATAGGAGAAGGGCCTAAAATGCCCCTCAAATATTTGAATTGGTATAAAATTATCCTTTATCCACATTTCGGTCTTAAAATACCCCTATCGTCTACCTATTGGCTCAAAAATACCCTTGATGTTAATCCTTTGACTCATATTTGCCCTAATTTTTAATAGCTACCTTAAAATAAAATTATTAAATATTTATTTATTATGTTTCTTAATTTGATTGGTCCAAATTTAAACCCTTCTCAAATAGATAATAAAAATCATATTTTTAAAATTTTATTTTCTTATAAAACTACATATGATTCATATTTTTGACCCCGATACACTTGAAAATAATATTGAAAAAAATAATTAATTTCATAATATCTTCCTATTGACCTATTTTAAATCAACCCCCAATTTATTATAGGTTAACCCAACTCATAAATTGGAATCCAACTAAAATCCATACTCACCCCGACTGATTGTCCATCTAAAAAAATCATTATTTTTATTAATATAAAATTTTCTATCAATTATCCAAATGTCTTTTTCATTTTCTCTTTTATTCCTTTTTTTAATCTCTTGTTTTTAATTAAGATATCTGGGACTCAAACTTGAAATGAATTCACATGTTTATATTCTTTTAAGAGAAAAGACATAAAGTCACCACTGAAGTTGTCCCGAATTTTCAAAAAGACACCTTAACTTTGCAATCGTCCTATTACCCAACTAAACAATTTTAAACATACATTATTATATCATTTTTCGATTAGCCCCAGATTTTAAGAAGCAAGCGTGTTCACACACCAATCATTACATGACACGTGTTAATTTAATTTAATTTTTTTTCTATTTTAAGCTTTTTGTTTATCTTTTTTTTCTTTCTTTCTCTTCCTCTCTCTCTTTCTCTCTTTTACTTTTTGACTTATTTTAATTTTGATTTCATCTTAAATTTACTTCATCTTCCACCTCCCATTTTCAAGTGATCCATCCCTCTATTTTCTTTCTTTTTCTTCACCTCCCACCCTCACCCCATCCCCCACATCAAGTTGAACCCCACTCCCATTTTTTTTCTTTTCTTTTTCTTCTTCTCCGGTCAAATTCTTTATAGAATTCATACTATTTTTTAGACTTTATTGAATTATTGATAACAAATTAATTATTTTTCTAAGAAAATTTACAATTTTTGAAGATATCATCAACTACTCCTTTTCATATAACTTCAAAATTAGAAATGATAATTTTTAAAAGAATCAATGAATTCCCCGAAAATTGAAAGAACTTAATTGAAATCGGATAAAAAAAACTATATGATCTTGAAATCTAATGGGTTAATCAAATTGTT